CCCCCAGGGGACAGGGACACCAGGAGTGTTGGAGGGTCAGTTTGAGCAGAGACCCTAACCTCCTTGGGGTTCACTAGCTCGAGGGGCGTCTGGGGGCTTCCGAGCTGAGCCAGGCGGGCTTCTCCAAGTCCCTGTAGACACCTGGGGGTCAGAGGTTGCGGGGACACAGGAGGTCCCCCTCTGCTGCTGACACACGTGCCGTGGGCGTTTTTCTCCGCCTCACCCCAAGTGGGACGTGGCCCACAGTGTGTTTGGGGTCTGTGACCCTGGACTGAACAGTTTCTGAGCTGGGAACCAGGGCTAGTCTCTCTGTGGATGGCTCCAGGAGGAAGGGGAGGGCGGCTTCCCCCTGCACAGATACAATCATCTCGATGCCGGCAGTCTGGAAGTCTGAGGGCAACAGGCTGGGGGGCAAGACCCGGGGTGCGGTGACCACACCACGCGCTCACGCAGGCCCCGCACAGACAATCTGCAAGGAGTGGTGGCATGGAGGGCCTCCCCCCAGGGAAGCTGTCAGATGAGCGCCGGGCGTGCCAGGGCCTGGCCTCCTACCTGGTCGGTGGGCGTGTAGTCCACCAGGCTGACGCTGTCAATTCTCTCCAGGAAGCTGAAAAGAAAGCCAGAGCTGCTCGCAGGTGCCCGAGATGTCCTCCCGGGCTGTGGGGCAGGTACAGAGGAGGGGCAGCACAGGCCCCTGGAGTTCCCGCCTTGTGTCCTGGGCGTGCGTCTCCCTGGCAGGTCAGCGTCCTGATGAGGGGCCGGACCTCAGTCTGCCCTCCTCCCTCTCCCACTGCGCAGGGCCGGGGTGACGCCACGCAGGCACTGGGAGGGACGGGCCTCCTCGTGGGGCTGCTCCACAAGGAGGCCATGTGGGAATGAGGCACAACATGGGAGGTGGGAGATGGTCCTTCAGTGCAAGACCGTCCCAGGAGGACGCAGAGCTGAGTGTGAGCCGAGCCGGCTGCACGGGCCTGGCGGAGGCTGTGAGTATGTGGCTGGTCCCCGCGGCCTGGTGTGTCACCGACACAGGGAGGGAGGGAAGGACACGGGTCTGTAGAAGCCCGGCCCCGCCGACGCTCGCTCTCCGCCTGCAGAGAGGCCGCGTCCACCTTGTCTCAAAGGCCCCCTCCTCCTGTCAAGCCTGCTCTCTTTCTCTTGCCCAGCGCTTCCCACGGCCTGATGAGCTTCACACGCAGTTGTTTATCTGTTTCTTACCTGTGATTAAGGAAGTGTTCACATATTGCGGTGCAGGGAAGTCATTTTGGCTCAGACACGAGTTAACTTGAATTTGATGCTAACTAGAACAGCCTGTCTGTGGCCTATCAGACATACATTGTACATCTGCTTTAGTTACTACAGAAAAGAGCACACTGGCCAGAAGTGAAGAAGGTCCACGTTAAAAATCCAGATTAAATGCCGCCCTTCCCAGGACGCCAGTGCTGGTCCTCCTTTGATGATGAGACCCCCCCTCCCCGGGTGCCGAGGACACGCTGCTGGTCTGTTCTGTTTTTTTCTTTTTTATTAACCTTGAAGAAATGTAACCCCGACTTGTTTAATGTTCTCTGTTCTGACCAGACATAAAACTGTGCTGAAACCCTGTTTCTCTGGAGCAGTTCCTCACAGTGATCTGGGAAGTGGGCTTCTGGGCTAGTCCTCAGTTTGGCTCACATAAAATTCTCCTATTCTTATTATTGGTTGTTTACTGATTTTTTTTTTGTCAATATCTGTCTCTTCCTCCAAACACGAGGCCCCCAGGGCAGGTCTGCCTTGTTGGCCCAGGTTCCCGGCACCTGGTGCAGCCGGCCCCCACGTAGCTGTGGGATGAACGCTGTCCACGCCCTCCTCCTCCCGCAGCTGAGAGCAGCGTGAGCAGGCGGCTGAGAGGCACGCCCACCACGACACAGAGGCCCGGGGCTGTGAGCAGAGGACCACTTCCCGGGGGGTGGCAGGGGCTTCAGGAGGGGATGCACGTTAGGACGAGGAGGCTCCAGGTGACCTGTGCCCACCTGGAGGGGGTGTCCCTGTGGACAGGGTGGGGTCTGGCCTGGGGACAGTGAACGTGACACAGGCCAGAGGGACACGGCCCGCTTCCCCACCCAGATGCTGTGCTGTCCACCACAGGTGTCTGAAGTGACGCGCTGTTGGTCCTCGCTCCTAGCCCGGTGCCTGTGAGCTTCCACACCACAGATGCTGGGGCCACCTCCCACCGGCACACGATCCCCTCCCCGGCCGGCACCGCAGCCTGAAATGCTCAGAGCAGGGGCAGCGGGGGCACAGACTCAGCAAGACCGCCTCCCGCCCCCTGCCCCAGCCAGGGCGCTGCGTCCCACCGCAGAGCTGAGGCAGGGCCGCACAACTTACAGCGGGGGGGCTCGTCCCCACCGGGCACCAGAAGAAAAGCAGCTGAACGCAATGCACTTCGGCTTTGTTCACCGTCCCCGCCACAGCTGGGGAGGTTAGCATTTGCAGGAGTGTTTTCATCCTCACCCGCCTTGCTTGAGACGGACTAGGAGCATTTCGCACGTCTGCTCCCCCACTGCAGTCAGGGCCCCTGCGGCTGGGGCGGGGCCGTGACTGCGGGAAGATGACACTACTCTGTTTAACGCCTTTAAAGCACCAGCGAAATTTCATTAGGATGCACTTTAAATGATTTCTTTTGTGAAAAATGCCGTAAGCTAGAGCTCTGTCAAAGCAGGTAAAAAACTCAGCGTGGTCTTGGGATTTACTGCATGACACTTCCTTGATATAAAGATACAGGGGGAAGTGTTACCAAGAGTGACAGAGCGCCAGGCCGTCCCCACGCGCAGCGGGGCCGAGGTCCAGGCGGCGCCAGAAGTGTCCTCAGACCAGGACCGGCCTCCGCAGACCCCCGGCACCGCGCTGTACACCTGAGTCCCCACCTCGCAGCCCTGGGGGACAAGCCTGCTTGGGGAAGCACTATGCCACCTCCTCCCCGCCCGAGGCTGCCCTCTCGGTCACCTGGACGGGACACCCGATGACTCACGTCCTGCTCCTCCCCTCAGGGTACAGTCCACCCTGAATCCGGTCTCCAAGCCCTTGGCAATCTGTCCCATCTCTTCCTCATTCTTTTTGATGCCAAATCCTCAATTCCAGTCAGATCCCCATGGAGTTTTCGGCTTTTCAGGCCTTCGTGTAATTTCTACTTTTTTTTTCTTGGAAGCCCCAGATTGAACCCTCTCTCCCTGTTCTAAGAAGCCAATTCTATGGAACAGAATTGAAAGCCCAGAATAAACCCGCACATATATGGACAATTAACTGATGACAAAGGAGCAAAGAACATACACTGGACAAGGCTCTGGGGAAGCTAGACAGCCACATGCAGGAGAACCAAAGCAGACCACGCTCAAAAGTCCACTCGGAACGGATGCAAGACCTGATTGTGAGACCTGAACCCACACAGCTCCTAGAAAGCACAGGCAGTGCACTCTTGGACACTGGTCTTTCTTGGACAATGTCTTTCCAGAGGTGTCTCCTCAGGCAACAGAAACAAAATTAGAAATAAACAAATGGGACTACATCAAACTAGAAAGCTTCCACACAGCAAAGGAGACCGCCAGCCAAAGGAGCAGCCTGCTGAACGGGAGAAGACATTTGGAAACCATGTATCTGATCAGGGGCTAGTATCCAAAATACATGAAGAACTCATGCAACCCAACAATAAAAGAACAAACAACTGATTTAAAAATGGGCAGGAGAGCCGAATAGACACTTTTCCAGAGAAAACATACAGATGGCCAACAGGTACGTGGAAAGAGGTTCAACCCTGCTACTCATCAGCGAAGTGCAAACAGAACCGCAGTGAGATGTCCCCTCACAGCCATCAGACTGCTATCACTAAAGAGAACACAAATATCAATGTGGGCGAGGATGTGGAGAAAAGGGAGACCCCGTGCACTGCTGGTGGGACTGTAAATTAGTGCAGCCCCTGTGAAAAAGTATGGAGGTTCCTCAAACTAAAAACAGAGCTACGTATGACCCAGCAATGCCACTCTGGGGAAGAAACCCAAAGGAAATGAAAACACTCATTTGAAAAGATACCTGCACCTCTGTTCACTGCAGCATTGTTTACAGGAGCCAAGACATACGTACACAGTGGAATAATATTTAGTCATGAAAAGGAGGAAACCTTGCCATTTGTGACATGGATGACCTTGAGGGTATTATGCCAAGTAAAATAAATCAGATGGAGAAAGACAAATATCATATGATTTCATTCACGTGTGGAACACAAAACACAAACAAAAATAAAATAAATGAACAAACCAAACACATAGATACAGAGAACAGAGTCGTGGTTACCAGAGGGGGAGGGGGAGGGAAATGGGTGAAGGGAGTCAACTAACTACATGGTGACGGACAGAAAGTACATTTTTGGTGGTGAGCTCAGTGCAGATGTATAAATATAATAAAAAATAAGAGAAGGCAAACAAGCCAGTTCTAACCACCAGGGAGGCTATAATCCCCCTGTGCAGTTACTGGCTCACGGCTGGATTAGCACCATCCACGCCCTCTGCTGTGATCTACCCCCTTTATAGGTCGAGGTCTAACACGCGGTGTACAAGGAGCACCCAACTAAGTGTTCGTCTCGACTCTTCCACACCTGCACACACCTCTGCATTTTCCTGTTTGCCTAGGCCTCGCCTAACTCCACCGAGGGCCGTTTATCACAGAAGCACATCTTTTATTTCTGGAAGGAAGCCCAGAGAGCCAGCATCTGATAGACTTTAGTCTAAATCTTGTGCTGTATTTGGCAGTTCTGGGTAAAGACTCTTTGGGAGGGAGGCTTACAGATGGGAAAAGCGGGTGCAGACGTGGATTTGGAGGAACGCTGAACAGGAAAAGGACTCAGGCTCCCAAGGGCACACTGGGCTCTGCTCGGTGCCCACCGCGCCCTCAGTGAACTCACGGCTGGAGGGAGGGTGCCCAGGGCAGGTGGGCATCCATGCTGGAGACCCAGCCTGGAGCCCGCTGAGCTGGGCCCCCCGACCAGGCCCAGGAATCGTGACTCCGACACCCTGATCCTGCTCCAGATGTAATGTACCACCTAGTTGTAGGGAAAGGAACCCAGGAAAACCAGGCAGCAATTCTGCTCATTCCAATCAGCTGATTGAAAGAGAAAGAAAGACAAGACAGGAGCCTGTTTGGTTGACGTCCGAGGGCTCTCATTTTTTTGCCAAACCCCTCAAGGCCCTGAGCGCTGGGTTTTGGCCACAGAAACACCTCCATGAGGGTGTCACGCTCACTGCAGACGAGATCTGGGACACGCAGTGCCTCCCCTCTGCTAACAAGGTGAGCATGGCTGACCTGAGGCCACGTTCAGTTAATAAGGTTGTCAGGATGGGGCTCAGTCCAGGTGGCGCCTCTCCAAATCAAAGACCGCAGGGGGCCCCCACCTGAGAGGTGAACGCGCAACGACACTCCTTCAGGAGCAGCAGCTTCAGTAAGAAAGCTCTCCAGTAGTGCACTCACCATGTGGCCTGAGACAGACTCAACAGTCCACGGCACAGACTAAAAGTACACTCTAAATCCATCTGGAAACCGCATTTGAAGGCAGAAAAATAAAAAGAGAAGGTAAGAGTAAACACTGCACCAGTGGTTGCATGGAAGATGAACCATCTCTTTGGACCCTCAGTAAATTCTCTCCTTAGCCTGGAAGTATCAATGTGAGGAAGAATCCTGTTCTTGTGAAGAAACAAACTATTACAGCAAGGAAATAACAACTTGGGCGTCTAAAATATGCATGTAAATACCGTGCTACCCAGACAGACATTCCTTTGCTAAGGGTGAGTCTGGGAATCCACCACGATTTCTGAACCAAATCTACCTCTGAATTCTTCTTCCTTCAATAGCTTTTTAAACAGGATGTGCACTCATGTGCAGTAACATGCAATGTAAAATGACCTATTTGACAAAGTTCTGTGGCTTCCATTTCAACATTTCAACAACTGCAGAAGTGAGGAAATAACTCGTGGGCTTGGTATGCTTTTGAAAATATTTATGTTTCATAGAAAGGTACATTCATATAGTTTGAAATGAACATATTTCAGAAAGTCCAAGCATATACAAGCTTTGTTTAACCTCACAAAATATATTAGTTTTGTTGGGAGTATCTGCGCTATAAAAGGGTCCTCAATTTACCAAACGATCAACACTAAGCTAATTTTTAGGTTGTAATTATTTTTTCCAGTCTGAAGAGGGGGTGGGGCTCACGCTGTATTCACACACAGCTGTCTCCGTGCAACCATGTGAATCACAGGAGACACCAAAAAAGGACAAGTTTTAGAAAGATTTGCGGCTGACATCTGACAGGTGTGCCTTACGGAAAACTCTGGAACAGCATCCAGTCAGAACGACACTTAGTATGAGGCTCGTTCAGCATCTGCACAAACCTCTTTGTTTTCTCCCCCTTAAACACGCGCACTCACATGGGAGAACGTGTCATAATGGTGAATACTTGGTGACGAATCTCTCAAAGGACTTAGAGGAATATTTTTAATTATCTGAAATAATTCTCTCATGGAGAAATCTTCCAATGAAGGAAAGGTTTTAAAAGTGTTGCTTTAAGACAAAATAAGAAATGCAAATAATTAGGCCCTAAAATGCAGTTCTAATTTTATTTCTATTTTTGATTAAGATCAAAACAAAACCTATGCACACACACAGTCTCAGGGCTTCCTCAATCAACAGCTCTTTGGCAATATTAAAGCGAGTAACATGACTGCCATGCTAAGCAGCGTACCTTATAAGAAGCCCAATTAAAGTATTAAATAGGAAAATAACTAGAAACATATTAGAGAAGTTCCTATGAAAACAAAGTCCCATGTTAAACTCTGTAAATCTTAACATAAATGAATAATTTCCTCTTATAATAAGTGGATGTTACGTGGCATTTCCCCCGTTATTAAAATGACAACTACCACATGAAGAATTTATATAACGCAGACAGTAAGAGAGTATTATGCAAGAAAGTCCTGGGGTAATTTTAGTGTAAGTTATGAGAACAGATTAATAGTCAACTGTACTCTGGATTTGATGCCAAAAAAGAAAGGATGCGCAGAATAGCACTGTCCTTAAATAAGGTCGCGGATGAGGTGTTGACAGCCCTGTAGTCAATCTAAGTAATCACCACCTGTCAACTCTAGATATTATCAATTATACACACACACACACACACACTCACACACACCCCTTCAATTTTTATAATTCGGGCAGAAAACTGAATTCCCAGGAATTAGAGTTTTGACCAAATTTTGGAGAAACATTCATACACACCAAGTTAACTAGTTCTGTTAGAAGGCAGCTATAAAAATACAGATCATCACAAGCTATACAGAACTTCCGTCAGGAGTGGAGAGAGCCTGGGTAGAACAGTCTTCAGTAGAGGGCAGTTCAGCATTCCGCACGCTGGGAGTTTCTGGTGTAGGGTGTCTCTTCCGATGCGCCGCGGCCTCAGCGCGGGTCCTGCGGTCACACCTGGTCCCGCAGGCGGGCCAGTCTCTGGGACAGCTCGTCCTGCTCGGCCGAGGCCACGCTGGTGCCCACCGAGCCGGTCTGGCCCTGCGGCAGCTCCATGTTGAGGTCGAGGCCGGCCTCGTCGGCCATCTCCTGCAGCAGCATGTCCACCTGGTTCTGGGGGGTGGTCAGCGTCGTCGTGCTGCTCATCGTGTCTTCCATCTGCTGCGTCTGCACGTCCAGCGTCTCAAACTGGTGCTCGAACTTGTCCATCAGGGCGGAGATCTTCTCCAGATTCATGGTCTTCAGCGTCGCGTCCATCGACTTCACCACACCGGCCATCGACTTGGTCACCTTGCCCATCGTCACGGCCGTCTGGACCCTGGCGGCCACCGCGTCGACCCGCGCGCTCATTCTCAGGAAATTCACCGCCTGGTTCTTCTGGCGAATCGCATTCTCGGCGTGAATCCTCGCAACTTCCATGTTGCCCTTCTGAATGGCCTTCTTAATTTTGGCCTTCTCAGCCTTTTCCTCCTTGTCGCATTTTTTGGCACTCCTGCTCAGTTCTTTGGCCGCGAACTTCAGGTTGAACAGGTGTTTCTCCATGTTGGACATGGTCGGACGGCTCCTCGGGGTCGTCGGCCAGGGCCGAGGTGGGCGCGGACGCAGGAAGGAGCAGGGAGTTCGCTTCTGGCCGCCGCTCCTTTGTTTTGGTCCCACTTCCTGCTTCTCCTGGGCGAGGCGCGGGAGGTGACGTCATCTCCCGGCGCCTGGGGCGGGGGCCACGTGACACGCGGAGCTGGGGCGGGGCTCCACGGGACGCCCGGCGCTGGGTCGGGGCCCGCGGGACGCACAGCGCCCGGGGCGGGGCCCGC